AACGCCATAGTATTCAAGTCTGAATACTGTTCTATTGTGGCAACAATTGGAAGGAACTTGTTTGTGGCAGAATTAAGCAACTTATTTACTTGTTTTTTCTCCTCAATTGTCGATCCAAGTTCCCGAACCTTAGACACGATCTTGCTGATCTTGCTTGCAAAATCATCAATACTCTCACTTTCCTTCATTCTCAGCAATTCAAACTCTCTGTTCAGAGTTTGGATTCGTGCTTGTTTAACCCGATCGGCTCCAAGAAAACGCACCCTGAGTGCATCCCACACGTCCTTGGCCTCTGCATGTCCTGCTACTTGCATCAGAATGTCTTCCGGTAGTGCCTGGAAGATAAAGGCCCTTGCCTTCTTCCGGATCTTGACGTCCACCTCCGTCGCATCCGGTGGTTCTATGGCATCCCAAATTCCTTGGGCATCTATAAACGACTGCATCTTGATAGCCCAAGATGTATAATTTGTTGTAGTGAGTACAGGACATTGGTACGTTGTCGAGCCTCCATCTCGAACTGGGGTAACAGCAACAACATCGTTTGTTTTCTTAGTATTGATGGCCTCCATCACAGACTATTGTTTTTCAGGCGTATTGCAAGACAACTACTGATCACAGATCTGTGTTTGATTTTTTATTAACCAGGGCTCTGATACCAATTGAGAGAAATAATGACAGATCTAAAGTATAGAAACAGTGTGTTTTTATTGTGGAACTGCTGTCCAGAACAATGTGCCCATACATATAAATAGAGGACTAAACAACACAACCATTACAAATAGACACAACAGTTTCTAACCAACACATCTGTTGGAAACTGTCATAAAACTGCCTGTAACTAGTAACTGCCTAACTGCCTGACTGTCTACCTTTTTTTTTATTTATTTATTTTTAAACTTAAACTATATTCTGGACTGGAATTAACCAACAGAGACTACTGCCATAAGAACACGTTTGTAGAATTTTTTTTAAAAAAATTATTCTTACACCTTTATTTATTTGAATTTTGTGGTACAATTTATGATTTTTTCAGACTGTAAATACATTTTGATGATTTGTATATTGCGATAAGCAGTGTAGCTTCATTGTGTTATATTCTGTTTGGTCACTTGTGCCTTCTCTAGAAGCTACTACACCCTCAAGCACCCTCGTAGTCTTGACATTGCACATGTTGCACTATGTATAATACTCCCTTTGTCTCTAAAAAATTACTACATTTCGTCTTTTTTGGTCAAATTGTAGTAGCCTTTGATCACGATTAAATATTGTTAAAACTAATTAAATATTATAAATATTTAATATTTAAAAATTATATTTTAAAATAAATTTAATATTATTAAATTTATACTTTTTTCATTATTTGCGGTCAAAGAATGCAACATATTGATCAAAAAAATTAAATTGTGATAATTTTTTAAGGGACAGAGGAGTATATTTTCTCCGTTTTTTTAATCAATTTTGATTTCAAGAAGTGTAAGAAAAATGTTAAAATATAGTGAAAAATGTAAGGTTGAAATTTATATGAAGGAATTGAAAGAGAATTCGTTCATATATTTATTTCTTACAGAGTAAAATAGAAAATGAAGAAGGGTAAAATTGGTTTTTATATATCCAAAAAACCAAAGTGATAAACAGATAGAAGAAGTAAGTACTCCGTAGTAAATTCGTCGTCCAAGGAAAAAACAAGAAACAATAGAGGAGAATGAAAAAAAAAAGAAAGGGAAAGCTTTCCATTTCTTTTTTTTTCATTCTCCTCTATTGTTTCTTGTTTTTTTTCCTTGGACGACGAATTTACAACAATATTTATATCCGATGAATATACAATAACATTATATTTCTAAATTCATAACATATCATCTCAAACATGGATATGATGTGTTCTTTTTTATATCCAAAATAAGTTTTCTTACATATTTATTTGGGTGATCATTTAGTTAAATGACTTTTAAAGACTTTAATTATATTTGTCCGACATTTTCAACCTCTTTCTAGTTTTTTCAACTTCTTTCAATTCTTCCAACATTTAACTCTAAAATTTCAACCTAAAAGAGCAAGTTCTTAATGCATGCGCTCGTAACGTATAGTAGCCCATTTACCCTCACAGTACTTTATTTTATTTTATTTTATTTGGATAGAGTACTTTAAAGTTTTTAACCACACAAATATTTTTTATTTGAGCCGTTTAAAAATGAAAAAAAAGAGGTGGTGTGACAGAGATTTTAAGTAGGTGTATAAATAATGTTGTATCTTTATTTGGTCACATTTAATTTCCTTGCCGTGGTTCCGCAAGAATGCATGGCGGCCTTTTGACTAAGATCCCTTCTTTCAAGTTCCAACCACACCAAGTTGTAACTGCTTTGTCTTCTCTACACCCTCTAATTGTTGAAATATTTCCGCTAAATAACATTAAGTTTTAAGTTATTTTCCCAAATAGCATTTAAACTATTTTATTTTCTAAATATCAATTGATAATGACCATAATGTCCAGTAATGCCGAACATTTACTTGAATAATAATTAATGGATAATGACTAAAAGTGCTACATTAGAAAAAATACATGTGATGCTATTTAGAGAAAGTCATTATGCTTTAATGCTATTTAAATAAATGTCCATCCAATTGTTTGGTTGAGATCGATTGTATTTCACTAATAATCTACTCCCTCCGTCTCAAAAAGATTTACACGTTTCAAAAAAATTGCGTCCCACAATCTTTTACCCATTTCTATTAAAAAACTACTTTTATCCCTTACTTTTTCAAATCCTACCTATCACATCATACCTTTTTTCCTAATAATCTACACATCACATCATACTTTTACCCATCACATCAAGGGTATTTTTGGAAAATCAATACAAAATTATCCCTCTCTTAATTTTTACTTTAGTCAAAACATACCCATCTTTATGGGACGGAGGGAGTATTCATTACATATTACTATTACTGAATATATCAAGAGTAAAATTGGAATTGAAAATCAACTACAAATTAAATATACATTCATTATTTCTCTCCTTGGTCAAAGTAGGATGAACCATTGAGTATGAGCCATTTATTTCCTTCATTTTAAGGAAAAATGAACGAAAACTTAAGTTTTAAATCACCTAAAAAGAAAAGTATAAAGATTAATTAATTAATTTGGAGCAAATAGGGAGTACTAGCTAGCTAAGCTTAGGTTACGTTGCTTCTGTTCCATAATTTAAGGAGAGTCTTTAGACAAGAGGCCAGAAACAACGGACGATGGATGAATGATTTCGTGTTCCCAAGGCATGCATGCATGCATGACGGCATGGAGTTGGACGTGGAAGCTTTGCATGAAAGGAATGCTCACTAAGACAATGCTCATTTCCTGGTTCCTTTCACAAGTGTCTTCCATCAACTTTGTCCACCAACCATCTGATCTCTCACTTTAGAATAATGAAATTATAGCATCTCGTGGGAACTGGGGCGGAGGCCGGGTGAAATTGATGATGTATGGGGGCGGGTTAATTAGGAGGGGATTAATTGAGAAGATATATAGGAGCCATCAATTTTACAAATGAAGTATCGCACGTGTTCCAAAATCACTGATGCCGTGAAGTGGTGTTATTTTTGTTGGTGTGACATTACAACTTCGCAATTCCCCTTAACTTTTATATTTGTGAAAATTAAAAATTTTTTGTTTAGTCATCCTTACAAAAAGTTTTAGCTTGAAAATGTCTCATATCTTGTTCTTCTAATTAGTTGAGATAACATATCTATTGAGAATTGAGAATGTCATTCGATGAAGGACGCATTTTAGGGCATAGAATTGTGTCTGAGGTAATAAGAAAGTGAAATTTGCACTAATAGGACTAAAACATAATGACTTTCCTAATCTAGGACTTAAACTTTTTTATTCCCTAAATAGGACTTTATAATGCCTTCGTGGAAGGAATAATGCCCAGCAATGTTAGACATTACTTGAATAATGACTAAAGAATAATGACCAAAGGTCCTACATTCGGAAATAAAAACATATGGTCATATTTTGGGAAAGTCATTATGTTTTAGTCCTATTTAGGTAAATTACTCAATAAGAAAAGCAAGACTAAGATGTGTAGTATGAAATCAATATATTCTTTTAACAAATTAGAATTTTGATTACGTCTAAAGACTGTTTTCAAAATATTTTTTTGAGAAAGATGACGTAAACAAAAAATTACAGATCAGAGATAAAAACCAATACTCGATAAATATATATATTTAAACAAAAAAATTTATATTTTTAAGTAGGGGTGAGCAAGTACCGAACCGATACCGAAATTTCCCGAAAAAACCGAGAATACTGAACCGAAAAATACCGAACCGAAAAAGTACCGAGAAGAAACCGAACCGTACCGAACCGAATGGTCGGTACGATATTCGGGAACGGTACGAGGTGACGTCCCATACCGAAAATCCCGTACCGAACATATATACTAAAATATTATAAAAATAATACCCCGAAGTAATATTTTTATATTCCTTCACTAAATATTAATTTTTTTAAAAAAAATATGTTCAAGTTCTATGATGTGTAAATTATATTTTTATTTGAGTTTTAATTTTTGTGTATGAACATAAAAGTATTCGCAAAGATTCGAAATACTCCTTTGTTGTCATTCATTTTTTTAGTTTGTGAAATACTCTCTCTGTCCTAAAACATTCTTCCCACTTTCCCTTTTCCTCCGTCCTAAAACTACATTTCCATTAGAAAAAAAGATGACAAATGACATTAATACCCTCATGTATTCACACCAATTATCTTCTAACTCTATATTTGAATGATTGCAAAAACAATTTTCAAAAAATCTTTTTTAAGGAGGGTAAAATTTGAAGTCAAAGCCAAAAATTAAAAATGGGGAAAAGTCAAACTGGGAAGAAAGAATTAGGACGGAGGGAGTATAAACTAAGTTTTGATACGCATCTCTTGCATTTAAATATTCATTTTTTTAATTTTTCATATTTTTTATTTAAATTCACTTTTAATTTTCAAAAATAAAATGGTATTGTTAAATTTTAACATGTAAAGTAGGTATGTATATTTATCCCGATTTGTACCGATACCGATAACGAACCATCCCGAACCATACCGAACCGATATTTCGGGATTGGGATCGGTACGGAGCAAAATCCCATACCGAACCGAAATATTTGGTACGGTATCGGTACGAGCTAAATACCGTACCATACCGTACCATGCTCACCCCTATTTTTAAGATGGTGTAAGTTTAATTTGTGGGAAGTGTTTGAAAATAAATTTGAAATTTGTGAGGACTTATACCTAAACTCTTCCCTCTATATATACTCCCATTCACTCTCTTCTTACTCACTCAAATTGCATGCATGCAATGATGAAGAAGAAGAGCACACTCCCATTCTTTCACAACTTCTTCCTAATAATTCTTCTTTCTCCCCTCTTCTCACTTGTTATATCGCCGGCCAATTCACAAGGCGGCTATGGATATCCTCCGCCACCTCCTCGCCAGCAACCTTTGACCCCACCTCCTTCCTCAGGCGGCAGTGGGTCTCCGCCTTCCTCCGGCACCTACCCGCCGCCTTCTCATCATGGTACTCCTCCACGTGGGAATCCACCGCCTTCTGGTGGTGGTGGCGGTTATTCTCCTCCTTCTCAAGGGAACCCACCACCTCCCTCCGGCGGCAGTGGGTCTCCACCTCCCTCCGGTGCAAACCCGCCACCTTCTCATCATGGTACTCCTCCACGTGGACATCAACCGCCTTCTGGTGGCGGAGGAGGAGGTGGTTACTCTCCACCTCAAGGGAGCACACCTCCTCCATCTCATGGACATCAACCGCCTTCCGGTGGCGGTGGTGGTGGTTATTCTCCTCCCTCCCATGGGAACACACCTCCTCCATCACGCGGACATCAACCACCTTCTGGTGGCGGCGGTGGTTATCCTCCTCCTTCTCAAGGGCACACACCTCCTCCATCTCGTGGACATCAACCGCCTTCCGGTGGTGGCGGTGGCGGCGGTGGCTATTCTCCTCCCTCTCATGGGAACACACCTCCTCCATCACGTGGACATCAACCGCCTTCCGGTGGCGGCGGTGGTTATTCTCCTCCTTCTCAAGGGAACACGCCTCCTCCATCTCGTGGACCGCCTTCCGGTGGTGGTGGCGGCGGTGGCTATTCTCCTCCCTCTCATGGGAACACACCTCCTCCATCTCATGGACATCATCATCAACCGCCACCCCACGGCGGCGGTGGATCTCAACTACCCTACGGTGGCGGAGGAACTCCGCCGCCTTCTCGTGGATACACTCCTCCGTCTTCACCGCCTCATAGCCATCATTCCCCTCCGTCTTCACCGTCTCACGGCCATCACACACCTCCATCTCATGGGCATAAAAACCCTCCACCGTCCTACGGTAGCTCTCCACCTCCATCCACCGGTGGTCAACCACCCTCTCATGGCCATGCGCCTCCTAGTGGAGGACACCATCATCATCACGCGCCACCAAGAGGTTATACCCCTCCTCCGCCAACTTATTCCCCACCCCCGCCTTCACCAACATACTCACCACCACCACCGCCTTCACCAACATATTCTCCGCCACCGCCACCAACATACTCACCGCCACCGCCTTCACCAACATATTCTCCACCGCCGCCACCACCTTCACAAGCATATTCGCCACCAATTGTTTATACCCCACCTACTTACGGGCAGGCACCGCCATCGTACGGACAGTCTCCGCCGCCGGCTCCATATTCCACCGCCACAAAGTCTCACAACGACGCCACCGGGAAGCTCACAACCTCTGCTAGCATTCGCAGTTAAAGAGGATCTAAATTAAATAAGACATATATACCCCACAAGTATTAATTACTCTCAGTTCCTCCGATCATAATAAAGGCCAGCATGCATGCAATGCAGTAGCAGTCAGCACTGTGGAATAAATGCCATATATAATACTCCTTACGGCGAACTTTATAATTGTATTACAAATTGTATGGTTCTATTTAAAAAAAAACATATTGTATGTAGAGTTGATGACGCACGTATTATAAAGTTGTGATATTCGATCGTAGTTAAGTTTTTAATTTGTTCCTTCATGCTATGAGACTTCATAGCACTTCTCCTCTACTCTAAGTCTCTGACATGTTTTCATTTTGATTTTTTGTAATTTTTAAGAGTAATTGAAAAAGATTGAAATTTAAAAAAACATTCTTAACAAAAATGGGCAAATATGGTGGGGAGACATAATAATTAAAGTAAGTATGGCAGTTGTGTTATTTTAAATATTAAAAAAGTAATAAGATATATATGGGGAACGAAATAAGGAGTAATGAAAATATCCATGAGGGACGGGGAGAGTATTAATTACGAAAAAATTTTGAGACAGAGAAGAAATTTTGGACTGAATTCGGCAGAGGGAAAAACGCAGTCAGCGACTTCCTTTGAATTTTTTTTTATTTTCTCAAAGGTAGTCAGCGACTTCCTTTGAAACAGACTGGCACGCAACTTTTGGCAGGCTGGCACTCAACTTTTTCTCAAAGGAAGTCGGCGACTTCCTTTGAATTTGCTTTTTGTTGACTAGTTCACTTCCTAATCTTTTACTCTTTGTATTTTTTTATTTTAATTTAATTTTTACCTTTCAAAATAAAAACTTAATTTATATTAATTTCTTTTAGCATTGATTTAATTCAAAAATAATTAAAATAAAAACTCATATGATGATATAATTAATTTGACATAAAAAAAATTAAAACAACAAAATTACATTCATAATATAAATAAGATTTGTTCAACAAACGTCAACAGAAATTAAAAAGATAATCTAAAAGAACAAATGATTTTTAATGACTTGCAACTCTCTCCATCTCTCCCAAGAATTGTGAGAATTCAGTTGTGATGCCTTGCAACTCTGTCCATCTCTCCCAAGAATCGATTTCGCTGTCGACGACCAGACCGAGAAATTTCTTCAGCGGTCCTAACTGGAGGTAGAATACGTAAATTCCCGTAAACTGATTGTTTTGGGAAAAGCACGGGGTTGATGTTACATTGTAACATCTCATATATTGTTCAACTGAATACATTGAAGAGATTTCATCGTCAGCCAACCGTCGAAAAGAATGATACAGTCTGTGAACATGCACGCATGGAATACCATCGCTACTCCACTGTCCGCAAGTACATGTTTTTCTTCCCAAATCCACTAAAAAGCTATAGATGTTACCTGGATTAGACCTTGATGTTCTGCTTACCACATATTCTTGCCCCCCGTAATGCACAGCTTGAAAAAGTTGTTTATCTTTCTCGCGCTTCTGAAAAATCTTTGTGATTTTAGGAGTAAATAAACAATTTTTCCTCTGCCACGCAAAACATGCTTTACGTCGTGTCTCGAACTGATCAATGAGTTTATTATACGACATTGTGACAATAGCAGTTACAGGTAGCATCCGACAACCCTTCAACATGTTATTAAATACTCACATATGTGTTTGACATGTGATCAACACATGTTATACGACATTGTGATCAACACTCACATATGTGTTTGACGTAGTAGGAAATAACAAACCTCCAATCAACTGTAAAATAATCCATGTAGTATACTGAACTGCTTCCTCATCAGTGCTATCCTCAGACAATGGGTCTCGACCTTCTAGTCTACGCAAGTTAAACCCCAATGACCCAAAATCAGTGTCATCCACCGGAAAGTCAAGAACCCTCAAAAATAACTGTGAATAGGTTTCCTGCGGAACATTTTGCGTAAAAACAATGGGTTCACCATCCAAAAGGGAACTGAAAGGCATGAACCTCCGGTCTCCACCTTTCCAATAGGGCCGTGATTAAACTGTGATCCAATTTAATGGGTTGAATACGATGCACCCCATAAAAACCAGCAGTTCTAAGATTTGTCTCTATCCGATCATCTTCGTAAGAGCTTTCAACGCCGGCGTCATACCGACAACAAAAAAATTTTGCATCAAGAAAATCTTCCTCTTCCCAAACACGTCTTGAACGATGTTTCAGTTGAAGCGTTAACACAGCATCGTTTCGAGGACCAGCAATATCACGTTCAATTTGGTCCATTGCTTCATTAAAATTAAATGCAAATACAAGAAAATATAAGAGAAATAAAAGAAAATATACTCCATAAAAGAAACATATATCTACCATATATACAAAACTTCCAAAGAAAATATACTCCATAAAAGAAACATATATCCACCATATATACAAAACTTCCATCTTGGAACATAATAATGTGTGAAACATAAAAGAAACAAAAAAAATTTACTCTAATATACTCTAAATATATTTCTACTATATATACAAAACTTCTCTAAAGTTATTATTTACACATGCATAATATAAAAGCAACATATATCCATCATAAGAATTTATTTGATTCATTTTTTCATACACTAAATACCACATTTCTAACAATTAAATAAATTTATACGGAGTATGATAATAAAATCAAAGTCTAATCATTTTAGCCAAAAAAAATTATAATGATTTTAAAGAATAAAAATTAAAAAATAAATAACATACCTTTCAATTGAGAGTACAATGAAGATGTGTTGTGTTGTGAATTATGATAAAATTTAAATGATTAGAATAAGGAAGAAACTTAAAAGGTATAAATTAAAGATAATGTGTTGGAAAGGAGAGGAGAGTGTTTGAATTTGAAAAAAGGTTGGAATGTGTGAAAAGGGGAAAGGGGTAGGGTAATGGTTGATTTTGAAAAGAGGTTGAATGGTTTAAATAAAAAAGGGAAGTAGGGATGGAATAATGGGAGAAGGGAGGGGGAAGTGGGGAACACGTGATTTTTTTTCTCAAAGAAAGTCGCCGACTTCCTTTGTCACTGATTGGAAATGTTTTAGTTTTTTTGGAATTTAGTCACCAAATTCTTCCATTTCTGGGAAGTTGCCCATTAATTACTCCCTCCGTCCATCTAAGATCTTCCCATTACGTGTTACGAGGCTTGACCGACTTTATTTTCAATTGAATTTAATTGATTATAGGAATAAAATTTTAAAATAAAATTTATATAGTAATAAACTACATGAAAAGTTCTACAAAACTAGAGGTGACAAGACTATATTATTTTATGAAATGACTAGTAAAAATGAGCAAACAAAGTGAGTAATGTTTGACCCTGTAAATAGTGTCTGAGAAGATCTATGGTGGACAGAGGGAGTATTTTACCATAGACCTAAGGAGGACCTAAAGTCCACCATAGACCTACATATGAAGAAAATACTCCCTCCGTCCTATGAAACCTTTCTCCTTTCTTTTTTTATCTGTCCCACAAAACACTTCTCATTTCTATTAAAAAGTCACTTTTACCCCTTACGTTTTCATATCCTAACTATCTGTTAGACAGTCATAGGACTCCTAGTTGTGGTTGTTTTAGTTATCATAGTTGTTGTATCCTAGTCACCTTCTATTTTCCTATTCCTAGTCTATATAGGACTTACTCCTATAAATACTCTGGATTGTATTCATTCTCTGTGTGTGAAATATATTGTTTGTCTATATTCTATCATGGTATCGGAGCACAGATATTCTCCCAAACTCTAGGCCTTGACGCCGTTTCTTTCTCTTTCTCGGCTTCACAGCCATCCTCCTCTTACAGTGATCTTTTGATCGTTACCTATGTCGAAGACCGGTGATCCCTTTGCCGACCTTCCTGGCGGTTTGAAACTTTTTCTTTGCAATCTTCACTCCCTCGTACCCACAAAATTGGAAGATAATAATTATCCCTCGTGGTCATCTACCGTGAAGGCTACGCTCGTTGCTCACCGGTTGTTTGAATATGTCGACGGAACCCTCATGCCGCCCCCGACAACCATACCTAATGAGAAGGCACCGGCTGCTGCTGACAAGGAGCCGGCTGTCAAACCAAATCCGGCTTATGAACAGTGGTCTATCATCGATGCCCAGCTGCGTGCCTCGCTTCTCGCCATTCTATCTCGATCGGTTCAGAATCTTGTGCATCTTTGCCCTACCGCTTCTGCAATCTGGGATCATCTCCATCAACGGTATAATTCACTCTCTCGTACCCATATCTTCCAATTAAAAGAACAATTACATAATCTACGCAAAGGACAGTCCTCCATAAAGCTACATTGATGGCGCACTCAAACTTGTCACTGCCCTTGCCTTAGCACGAGAGCCTGTCCCGGAACAAGATGTGATTCTTAGTGTTCTGCGAGGTCTCCCTTCCGAATATGCTTCCCTCAAACAAAATATTCGGACTAATATTGCAAAGCTTACCTTTAATGAGGTGTCTTCTTGGCTCTTATCCGAGGAACTCAATGTCCAAATTGAACAAAATCTGCATCTCGGCTCCTCGTCTAGTGGATCTACTGAGCTTCCTACTGCCCTATATGCTAATAGCTATCGTGATGGAGGACAGCGAGGCCGTGGCCGTGGCAGAGGCCGTGGCCGAATGACAGGGAATAAAGGCGGAGGTCGCTTTGGTGGCCGTGCGTCGTATGCTCAGCCAGATGGTCGTGGCCGAGGTAGTGCTCCACGCAATCCCTCATTAATTTGTCAAATCTGTGGTCGATCCAACCACGGTGCTTGGCAATGTTGGAATCGCTATGATGAGGAGTATAGTGGACCACCATCTGCTCCTCACAATGCCCACGCCTTGTACTCTGCTCACTCTGCGGACATCAATCAGAACTGGCACTTAGACTCAGGTGCAAGTACTCATGTTACGTCTGACTTATCACGCTTGCATAATCCTTCTCCATATCATGGCTCAAACTCTGTTTTTACTGCTGGAGGACACTCTTTACCCATCTCGCATATAGGCTCAGGTCAGGTTACTACACCCTCAGGTACCTTCACTATCTCTAACCTTCTTCATATCCCCGACTTAAAAACCAATCTCTTATCCGTCCACCGATTTACCACTGACAATAATTGTTCCCTTCTGTTTACCTCCAAGGAATTTCTGATCCTGGACAATCATACCAACCAAGTCACATACCGGGGCCCATGTGAGCGGGGATTATACACTCTACCATCCAGCGTCGTTCCAGTGTCTTCGTCATCTAAGCTTGCTGCGGCTCCACTGGTGATCAATGCTCTAAAGACAACGTCTCATCAGTGGCATTGTCGGCTTGGTCATCCTTCTATTCAAGTTACAAAGTCTCTGTTGTCCCAATTAGGTGTTTCTTTCGAGTCTGAAATGTTCCATTCTGATTCATGTTCTATGTCAAAGTCTCATAAATTATCTTTTCCTTTATCTACTACTGTAACAACGACACCATTTCAATTGGTTCATTCTGATGTTTGGGGTCCTACCTCTGTACCCTCTTTTGGTGGTTATCAGTTTTACATCAATTTTGTTGATGATTTTACTAAATATTGTTGGCTATACCCACTTAAGCACAAATCTGATGCCTTTTCAGCATTTCAAAGTTTTCAATCCATGATCAAAAATCAGTTCGGTCACGATATTAAAATTTTTCGAACTGACAACGGTCGTGAATATGTAAATCACAAATTTGGGTTGTTTCTTCAACAGTTGGGGGTCCTCCACCAAAAGTCCTGTCCTTATACTCCTGAACAAAATGGGGTTGCTGAGCGTAAACACCGGCATCTTATTGAAACCCTTGTCACCCTTCTCTACACCTCTTCTCTTCCTGTCAAGTTCTGGGTTGAAGCACTAGCTACAGCTAACTACCTTATTAATCGCATGCCAAAGCGCTCTCTCCAATACAAGTCACCCTATGAAGCCTTGTACCATGCCTTACCAGATTATTCACATCTTCGGGTTTTTGGGTGCCTTGCATATCCTCATCTCCGCCATGATATTGATCACAAGCTTCAACCCCGTTCAAAACGTTGTGTCTTCCTGGGCTATGAGTCATTATCCAAAGGGTATCGTTGCTATGATCCCACCACTTCACGTATATATATTTCTCGCCATGTCCAGTTTAATGAGTCTGAATTTCCCTATTCCACCCACTCGAGTTCATCCACCCCCTCCTCTTCCTACTTTGGTGTCGTTCCTATTTTCCCTACATCTCCCATGGTCCCTATGCCTACTCCCATGCATCCCTTAACTCTCACTTTGCCTAATCCCCTGCCCAGAACCCCATCCCATACTCCCGTACCAACACCGTCACCCACAACCCCCGCAACTGCCCATCCTTCACCTTCATCCTCAACCCAAACTTCTCCCTTGTCCTCACCTACAATATCTCCCCATACCACTCCACCCAGTAGTCCGTCCCCGCCTCCTTTACCACGTCCCCCCACCCACCATATGATCACTCGTGCTAAAAGTGGCATCTCTAAACCCAAGCTCTTCTCTACCACTCTTATCACCACACCACCTGCAGATGAGCCTAGTACCTATCGCGAGGCCTCCAAAAATATTTTTTGGCGACGAGCAATGGATGAGGAGTATGCTGCCTTGATTAAACAGAATACATGGGTTCTTGTTCCTCGACCTTTGGGTCGGGCTCCGATTGGTTGCAAGTGGGTATACAGGATCAAGCGCCATGCAGATGGTACCNCCTCCTTTACCACGTCCCCCCACCCACCATATGATCACTCGTGCTAAAAGTGGCATCTCTAAACCCAAGCTCTTCTCTACCACTCTTATCACCACACCACCTGCAGATGAGCCTAGTACCTATCGCGAGGCCTCCAAAAATATTTTTTGGCGACGAGCAATGGATGAGGAGTATGCTGCCTTGATTAAACAGAATACATGGGTTCTTGTTCCTCGACCTTTGGGTCGGGCTCCGATTGGTTGCAAGTGGGTATACAGGATCAAGCGCCATGCAGATGGTACCGTTGAACGCTATAAGGCACGCCTTGTTGCCAAGGGCTACAACCAAGAATATGGCTTGGATTATTCTGACACCTTTAGTCCTGTGGTAAAGCAACAAACTATCCGACTGGTGTTCTCTCTGGCTTTACACTATCAATGGCCTCTTCGTCAACTTGATGTGTCCAATGCTTTCTTACATGGTGAGCTTGATACAGATATTTACATGGATCAACCTCCAGGTTATGTGGATCCCTCTTTTCCAAATTATGTGTGTCAGCTCTCTAAGTCTCTATATGGGTTGAAACAAGCCCCTCGGGCCTGGTATTTGCGCCTGTCTGCTTTCCTCCATGCGTACGGATTCCGCAAAAATGTCCACGACACCAGCCTGTTCCTCATGCATAGCTCTCAAGGTATTCTGATTTTACTTGTCTATGTGGATGATGTTATTGTCACCGGCAGTTCAGAGTGTCTTGTTCAGACCTTCATTGCTCGCATGTGTCAAGAGTTCAAGACCAAGGACCTTGGTCCCCTCCATTATTTTCTTGGCTTGGAGGTTCAACGTACTACATCAACCATCCTTGTTTCTCAACGGAAGTATGCCCTCGAACTTCTTCAACGGGCAGGAATGACAGACTGTAAGCCGACTGCCACCCCACTTCCTGTTCGGCCAGCAGTCACCGAGGGGGGATCTTCACCGCCGTTCCCTGATGCTTCTTTATTCCGTAGCCTTGTTGGCGGCCTTCAATATCTTACCACTACACGGCCTGATATTCAGTTTGCTGTAAACTACGTCTGTCAGCGAATGCACGCCCCTACAGAGGATGATTTTCAGGCCTTAAAACGGGTTCTTCGGTTTATCAAGGGTACTATGGATCGTGGTCTGCTCTTCACCACTGGAGACTTACAATTAACAGCCTACTCTGACTCAGACTGGGCTGATGATATGACAGATGGTCGTTCGGTAACTGGGTATTTAATATATCTCGGGCCGAATCTTGTGTCCTGGAGCACAGAGAAACAGACCCGGGTGTCCAAATCCTCTACGGAGGCTGAGTATCGTGCCCTATCCTCGGCCGCCTCGGAGGTCATGTGGCTCACTTATGTTTTGATGGATCTTCGTATTCCTGTGTCTATACCACAGCTTTTCTGTGACAACCAGTCCGCTATTTGTCTCACAAAAAAATCCAGTTTTTCATAAACGCATGAAGCATGTGGGAACTGATTGTCACTTTGTTCGAGAACAGGTTATTGCAGGCACCATGAACGTCTCACATGTATTCTCTGAAGATCAGCTTGCTGACTTGCTCACTAAACCACTAACCAAGCCGCGGTTTCAACATCTTGTGTCCAAGCTTCCACTCGTGACACGAAGTTCAGCTTGAGGGGGGATGTTAGACAGTCATAGGACTCCTAGTTGTGGTTGTTTTAGTTATCATAGTTGTTGTATCCTAGTCACCTTCTATTTTCCTATTCCTAGTCTATATAGAACTTACTCCTATAAATACTCTGGATTGTATTCATTCTCTGTGTGTGAAATATATTGTTTGTCTATATTCTATCACTATCACATCATACCTTTTTACTAATAATTTATCCATCAAATCATACTTTTACCCATCACATCAAAGAATATTTTTGGAAATTCAATACCAAAATACACTCCCTTAAATCCCTCCTAAATAAACGTTAGTTTTTTTAAAATAAAAAAAGACTTTTTTGTAAGAAGGTCTAAAAAATGATATGCACCAAAGAAACACTCTTTTTGCTATTATCTTTTCACCCCTTGGTCATTGTTAGACCAAGGGGTGATGTATATCACGCCACGACAATTTGAGGATACTACAATGTGAAATTTGTACTAAATATGGCAAAAACATAAGTCATTTTTCAATGTTCAATTCTCTTATTTATATTACTTTTTCTTTAGGGTGATTTTTCATTTTTAAGTTTTAACCCCCAATTAAATAAAGTATATATACTTTTATATGAAATATTAAATAGATAAAATAATATTTTAAAAATAATTTATAAAATAAATTTAATAAAATTATATTTTATGAATATCTAATACTCCGTATCAAATATTATCTAATGTCAAACTTTGCCAATTCTGAAAAAATAATGTCAAAGTTTGCCAACTCTGAAAAAATATTACTACTTTAATTCGTCCTTCCAGTTCAAATTCGGCCTGATTTTACCCATGCATTTTAACGGGCCCATTTGGCTTCACTCCTCTTCCGATTCGATGAATAAAATATTCGATCAAGTTTAAGTATTTTTGGATCCGGGTCTCGGGTATAAAATAGATGGGTCGACTCAATTTTTATTAATTAGTTCTAGTGGTAACATGGGCCCATAGCCTGCTCCATCTATTAAAAAATGGACTGTTACAAAAAAAACAACAAAAAAGGGTCTCCATGTGGTTGACATTAATGGGCACATTGGGCCGGCCGGGTTGGATTCCCGTGGGAGTGTGGGAGGAGATGAAAAAAAGGTGAGGATTAGCAAAAAGGACGCCGTTGCCGGGGATCGAACCCGGGTCACCCGCGTGACAGGCGGGAATACTTACCACTATACTACAACGACTTGTTATTCGGCCACTCGGTTTTATAATTTATATATCGTTTTTTGTTCGATAGAGATCTGCTGACAGGGCCCGTACGTGCGAAAGAGCACACGAGTGATGCTTTCTTTCGACTCAGAGCATGAGTTTAAATTTTTAATCTCTAGTTTATCTGTAGTTTCTTTTAATTTTTTCAATTTCTTTTAATTTTTCCAGTTTTTTTATTCCTTCCCGTTTTCTTATAATATTTCTAGTTTCTTCCTTTTTTTTTTATTTTTTTTCTAGTTTTCTACCTGATTATTCTTATTTTCTTCAATGTTTTTACTCCTAAATAACGACTCTAAAAATAATATGTTTTTCATGTATTATTATTATTATTATTATTATTATTATTATTATTATTATTATTATAACTATTGTTTATAAATCATTTCAGTTTTCCTATTTTTTTATTTTTCCATGTCACTATTTGTGATTCTTAATCATTATTATTTTTGTTTCTATTTTTATTATATATAAATAATACGAAGTACAATTTTATTGAGAAAATCATTTTTTATTTTAAATTTAATTTACATGATACTAAAGTATGTTCCAAAAATTATAGATATTTTATTAATCTAAATTGAAGTGAGAAAAATATAAACGCTTGAATGACATGTACGATATTCACGTAGTCAAACTATATTTACTTTCTTTACCTATTATGAATATAATAATAATAATAGTAATA